AAAAACTGTAGGACCGACCCTATAGTTAAGCATATTTAACATGGTTGTTTATAGTTACCTACGTAACAATCAAGGATTAACAAAAATAGTTAATTTTTGTAAACGATAATCATCACAATCTTCACGAATAGGGGTGTAAATGATGCTAGTCGAGCTCGAGTATCACTATACTCGACTCGAACTCAAAACCCAATTTCCAAGCTCGAACTCGACTCGAAAACTCGCGAGTAGTAAATATTGAAGCTCGACTCGAACTCGATAACTATTTTTCACGCTCGAACTCAAACTAACCTTGAATCAAGCTCGAACTCGAAATCAAGCTCGAACTCGAAATCAAGCTCGAACTCGAACTCAAGACAAGCTTGAACTAAGCTCGAATCAAGCTCGAACTCGAGCTCGAATCAAGCTCGAACTCGAGCTCGAATCAAGCTCGAACTCGAGATCGATTCTAGCTCGAACTCGAGCTCGAATCAAGCTCGAACTCGAGATCGAATCAAGCTCGAACTCATTTAATGCATAACAATAACAAGAAGTTCGAAATAAATTTAAAAAACTAGCAAATTAAATCCGAAAATTAAGAATTTATAAGGGCAACTCCAATCGAACGGCAAAACCTTAGTTTTGCCGTTCTTTTGGTTCCAATCGTCCTGCAAAATCACCAAAGAGATAGCGTCTCTTGAAAATGACCGGCATATTTGCCGGGGAAGAAGAGGGACGGCATTTTGCCAAATAGGTGGTCCCCACCAACTTTTTGTAATATTTAATGATTTTTAAATAAGTTATAAATAAATAAATAATTATAAATATTAAGTTTTAGGTTTTTATATTTATTATTTAAATATATATATATATATAATTATTAATAACACAAATATGATACCGGATAAACGTAAACGTATTTTATTAATGAAAATTTTAAAAACTGAAATACATAAATTAAAGGGTCCAATCTTCTCCACTAGGCATAAACTGACTAAAGCTTCCTGCTACGTTTTGAGATCCTTCGGATTGGTCTTGAGCTGCTTCAAATTGTTGATGTTGAGATACTCGATATTGAGATGCTATGAATTCTGATCCTTGTCCAGACATATGAACCTGGGGTTGCGCTCTCTCTCTCACTATTCGAATTTTCTCATTTTTTACGAACTCATACCACACAGGATCAGTGATAGAGGTTAGATCGGTGCACATAAGTTTGTCATCCGCCAACCTTGCCTCTAATGCAAGTTTCTGAGTTTGAAGCTCATTCCTTCGCATCATAACTTCAGTGGTTTTAGCCATTTGTTTCTTCATTTTTTTACTAGCCTTAACTAAATTCTCTAGCTTATTATCGTATTGTAGCTTTGATTTTGCCTTTTTCACACTAATTGGTCTTTGAGTACCTTCTACGTCATGAATAGTCAACGACGGTAAACCGGCATCTGTCCCAGACGATGAACCAGGACCGGAAGAAGGTGATTGATAAGGACTGTGTCGTTGATACTGAGTTGATGCAGTGACATTTGATAAACTCTCGGAGTCTTTCAAGATGTTCCAAACATGATCAAACTTAAAACCCTTCTTATAGGATCCATCAAGTTTTAATAGCTCTTTCGCTTCGTTCATCTATGAAAAATACACGTTATATTTAAATTAATAAAACAATGATCAAGTAAAACAATAAATACTTACGATATCT